TGTTGCCATCTGTGGATGACACAGTTCTTTCTTTAGCTTTGGTTCAGTTGGTTGCCAGCACTACAGTGCTTGCTGAGGCGAAAAAGTAAGGCTTTGCTCATTAGTGTCACTTTTATGTTGCTCTTATTTAAATTGCATCCATGCTTCTGTATTTATTGTACACCTGTGCTTCCTCAGCAAATCTTGTGTATGATGTAAAGCTTTTTTTTGTTGGTTTTTTTTTTTTTTTGTGGGGGGAGAGTGCACTACAAGCCATCCATGGACAAGCACTCTCGACCAGCCCTGGTGTTTTATTCAATGAAGCAGTCATGCTTACCGTGGTGGAGGGGAAATAAATGCAGCTTGGGCAGTGAGTGTGAAATGAAAGGAGGGGGAGATACATGTGGGAAATACCTTCAGAAGAACAAGGCTCCAGGAGCTACAGAAGTGCCTGCCCTGCATGCTTTCCCTGCCCCAAGCAAAACTTCCACCCTGAGTAAGGGCTGTCTGCTTGCACAGGCTCTGCCAGCCAGAAGGGACGAGTCATGGGGATCCTGAGGAGCCTGGGCGCCCTCGCCAGAGCCCTGGGACCAATCCTGTCAGCGACAGGTGAGTGCGGCCTTGTGCTCCTTCCTGCCTTTGCCAACATAAGTGTCACTCTGGACCCCCGCAGCCCGGGAGGGTCTGAAGGGGAAGGGGAATCGCAGCACATTTCAGAGCCATAAAGTTGTCTTTGCAGAAGTACCCTGAGAGCTGCATCAGGGGCAGGAACACAGCCCTGGTTAGCACCAGCAAAAGCCTCATGGATGAGTTAAGTTCATACAAGCAGAGATAAACTAAACAGCAGGGCAGGTATTGCCTGACTCTTTAAAAACTCCAGCATCAAACTAACCAAGCCCTGTGTGTAGCTGTGTGGGCAGAGGAGCACCACAGAGGGCCTGGCCCCAGTGTGCAGAGGGAGCTGGAGGCTGACCAGGACCTTTGCCTTTGCTGGGCTTATTTTTAGCCATTTTAGGGGCCACCCTGGCACAGGGTAAGCAGGAGTCAGTGAAAGCGCGGTCTCCTGTGCTGTGGTAACTGGTTCCCCGTATCTCATGAAGCTGCATCCCAAGATGATACAAATTAAGTGGGGACAGTCCGTCATGTGCAATAAAGAACTTTTCAGCGTTAAAAGCATCTGTAACCTATGAACTAGATTAAAGAGTCCACACTCAGGGAAGTGAGTGTGCAATGCCTAGTGGCCCTGGCTAAGGCCAAGCCTAGGCTGTGCCTAAGGAGCACAGGTATTCCTGTACAGGGTTCAGTTCTCCCAAGCTGTTATAGGGTAAAGGGACAGAATAAGGGGAAGCAGCCACACAGCAAGTCAGAGCTTGAACTCGGACCTAATGTTAAGTTTGAGCAAAGCCAGAAGCATCCACGTGCCAAGCAAACCCCTGCCCTGTTACCACAGCTAGCGCTCCCGTGCACAGCACCTTTCTGGAAGAAGAGCCAGACTTTGGGCATTACAGCAAAACCAGTCCCGAGTGCAGCACAAGTCCTGCTCTCGCCTTCCCACCTTGGCATTGGGTTCCCGAGTGTTTCACATAAGGAGACCGATACCAACAGTGAGAGACATTCAGGAGCACCTCAGACAGCACCAGAGGCAGCCACAGAGGAGGTGCTGGGGCAAAGAGTTCAATAGTTGCCTTGTAAAGCTGAATGTGTGAACCTCCCCCTTGCCCTACTGGCAAGAATGAAAATACCCTATTTAAAACAACCACTGTTAACATGCCGTTTCCTTGGAAGAGAACCAGCACTGCTGTTAGCCACCTCCCCTGTTGAACTTGTGTGCCAGCAAGGATGTGCAGTGAAAGATTCAGTAGCTCTGTGTTCTCCCGTTGTATCGGTAAGTTGTGGAGAGCAGCAGCTTGGAAGGCCAGTTCACACAGGTGCAAGGACCAGCATACTAACAAGCTATATCTTGTCTCCTTTGCAGTTTACTGGCTGGCAGGGGCAGAGGTTTGCTTCACTGTCTGTGGAGCTTTCTTCCTCATCCCCTTCGTTCTACTTGGTTCTGTAACACAGCAGACAAAGGAGGAGTAGGAAATAACCACAGAACTATCACCAGCTTCCAAGGACCTCTACAAGACCTGACTCTTGGCACCCGACAGCTGATCACGTAGGAAGAGGAGGATTTTGATCTTCTGGAAGGGGACTGTCGATGACCATCTGCAGCAACAACAGACTTCAGGTTTCTTACAGCCCTCCAGTTATGTTTAAGACAGTCTCCCAGCCAGCTGGGCTAGTTTTGCAAATAGAAAAAACCCACAAAAGAGTTGAGTAAAGCATTAAGATCATCAGACAAGCAGAGACAGGCACGACAGCAACACGGCCCAGTGCAATCCCCATCACCATTGAGTGCTGTTGAACACCGCGCTGTCGTGTACACAGAGCTCAGCTCTGCTCCTCTCCCTTCCTCGTCGGCACAAGCCAGGACCACTGTCATGTACACAGAGCTCAGCTCTGCTCCGCTCCCTTCCTCGTCGGCACAAGCCAGGACCGCGTTGCCTGGTTTTGGCTAGCAGAGAACAGATCCACGAGGACTTTCTGTACAACTGCCACGAGATCTGCAAAAATGTTCAGCAGACCTGGTCAAAGCTGTACCAACCGTCTTAAAATATGACGATCAAAAACAAAAGCGAGAAGCATACCACAGGCTTCCTGAGCCCGACTGATACTTTGGCACAGATGGACTGTTTTTAATATACAATTAAATTTTGAAAGATGTTTTATATTTCTAGTACTGCATGATGTTTTTTGATGACCAAGCACTGTTCTTTTTGCGTTACAAATAAACTGTTACATTGTACACTCATCTAGTGAGTTAATTACAGTTGTCACACCCACCTAAACCAAACATAGCTGTTTGGCTAAGCCCCAGTGGGGTCCAGAACCCCACCCAAGGTGCCAAAACCCTCCTGAGGGAGCCCACCACTAATGACACCCAGGTGCCAACAGGGGCAAGGCAGGTGGGGGAAGGACCCCTCCACCAGGTTCTGCCTCCTGCCCAGCTGGGATGCTCTGGGAAGGAAGCCCTACAGCAGCCAATTTGAGTATTTTCTGAGAATACATTACAGCAATCATTGATCAACATATTAATCTTTAAAAGAAAATGGAGCAAATTAAATTGAACAGGCTACAGCTGTAGAATAAAACTGTACAAGTTCTGAAACCAGAGCATGTTTTTTTTTTTTTAAAGAGTTTTATTTGTGAGTAGAACTTAATGATACAAGAAAGAAAAATACAGGACTTTATTCTGCCCCAAAGTGTGTAACCATACCATACATGACTACATTTCATATTGTAATACAAAGAATTAAAAGAACAAACTACAAAACTAGAAATTAAGAGTCATTGCATATGTGGTCAAGATAAATGGAGGGACTCCATTAAAGAACTGAAACATATAGCAATTAGTCATTTAATTATGACCCTGCAATAAAACACAATTTAGCAAAATAAGTACTGTATGCTTCCTAGTGTAGAGAGGACATACAAGGTTAAAGTACAAGCTGAAAGCTGTTGGTGCCATGCAGCCCTGACTAAACATTGCTGCTCAGGGGTCTCTCCCGCACAGTGCTTTGCCGCTGCTTCTGTTCCACCCTGCCTCTGCCCGCTCCACAGCAGGTGACGTCACACTTCCCACAGTATCAATCACTACCTCGAAACCTCTTTCCTCATTCCAGGCCTTACAACTCTTTCTCCTTTCAGCTGTTTCCCCTTCCCTGCCTGAAACCAACCCAAGGTATCAGCACCTCCCAGCCTAGCGCTGGCCTTGTTCACTCATAGCTGCCTCCAACTGCTCAACCCACCTCTCACCTGATGCTTTCTGCTGCATGAATGTAAGGCATTAGTTTTCTGCTATTTTACCAATTGCGATGTTTAATATTGTCCTAAAAGGTTACATCCACATTCTGTTTTGTTACAGACACTTACTGTGAGTCAATGCGTTTCCCTCTCCCACACAGGGGTGTCGATGTTTTCTGCAGTTAACACCAGAAACGCTAATGCTAGAAACCAGAAAGGGTTACCAACCTTCCCCGCTTTCGGCTGGGGTAATTACAGTTTCTGGAGGATTCTTGCAAGCTTTACCTATCTGATCTTAAACTACTTTTATGATTAGTGATAGACAGAAGCATGGCAGTAAATGGAAAACACTGAATTCAGTGGTGAAAGTGATTTTCTTTACCATGCTACATATTAAACAAACATTTATAGCAAACTGTGAAAATACATCTTTAAGGTTACTTGGGATTTCTGTACTTTACTGCTGGCAACAACGACAAAAAAAAAATTAAATGCCAGTTTTTGTAAGTGAAAATAATTAATATAAAAAAAGAGGTTAAATATTCAGTGTAATGCATTTACATTTTTATCATGGGAAGGAACAAACACAAAAGGCCTCAAATAGGGTTTATATGCAACAGGTTTGCATGTGCACCCGAGGGATTTTTAAGAGGGTGAAAAAAACCCTGTGCTAAGGCCCAAAATACAACTGCCCATGCTTCACGCCACCAGCTGAAAAACTTCTGAAATACTGTTAATGCAGTTACTTTTTAACCTTTTCTAACAGCCAAATTACCATATGACTGATTCTTAGGGAGGCAAGATTGAAAGACAGATTTCCCTTAAACTGTAGTCACTAGAAAAAAAAGATTGGGCTCTTTCAACACACAACATGAACGGCACACACCACAGTTATTTCAGTCCTAGACATCGAAGATGATTTCAAGTGCCAGTTATAAAACAAAACAAAGTGAAAAACACCTTCATTTTGTTACAACAGTCAGAGGGGATGAAAGGAATGGATAGCCTCAAAGCTTGACTAAAACATGATCTGTAATCACAAGCTTGCAGAAGTTTACATGTCAGTTCAAGAACACATCCCCCTTGAAATCACCACTGCAAAAGCATCCTCTCCAAAAGCCAATTGCGAAGAAGAAATTTACTTGGGACAGAATATTGGAAAAGAACACTTCTTGTGGTAAGCAACGTGTGTTTTATTTTCAATTGTGAAATTTTTTTTTAATTCTTTTGTAAAGCAGTGCAGGCTTTAAATTAAAAATAGTGATTCAATGCCTTCCACATGGAAGTCATTTACATTTGATTACAAATTAGGGATCAGATCTCTGGTAGCTGCTGAAAACACAGGATTAGCACCTTTTTGGACATTAGTTTCTGGTTATAACCTTAAACAATCAAGCCATAACTTGAGGGGCTGGCTGGATTACTTGCTGCATTCATTTACGTAATAAGACAAAACACTCAGTACGATCTGGTACATTCTAGTGGTTAATGAATTTTAAAATATGACAGTGTTTCTGCAGTGTGTTTGGCCTTTAGGAGTCACTCTTCTTTTTGCTCTTCTTCAGGAAGGAAGGAGTGCGAAACTTCTTTTTCTTTTTCGACGGGGACTTCCCTGGAGATTCATCACTACCTGCATCAGCTGCTGTCCCCTCCTCAGCTGTTGGTGTTACTGGCTCTTCAGCAGGCTGAGACTGGGGTTCCTTATTTTCCACTGCAGGTGATTCCATTTGGCTTTTGGGCACATCTTCATCACATCTCCCTTCCTCCTTTCCTAAGGGAGGGAAGCTGAGTGCTTCTGAAGGCTCATCAGGGGTGAGATCTGGGAGGGTTTGCTTGAAAGTTGCAGCGTCACTGTCATCTTTGTAGGTCTGGTCCTGCTGTGTCTCTAGTGGACGGACAGACAATGACACAGTTAGTTTACCTAAGTGTCCCTAGAACGGAGAAAGCTGAAGCAAGTTGATGGTGAGCGCTCCCTATAAAAAAACTAAATATATTTACTTTGCATAAAAGCCTTTGTAATAGGTCTCTTCTTTAGCTTTGGGCACAGAGATAGAAATAAGATATTCAAAAGTCTTGTTTGTTTTTAAGCTGAATTCCATCATGTGGGTGTAAACCAGCAAGAAAGTAACTGTTCAGACTTTTCTCATGTTTTATTTATAACATTTGCAAATGACATGAGATTTTAGTACAGAAAGCAGGAATTAAATCTACAGTTTTCACTGGCATTGAAGAGAGCGTCATGAAATTCCATATCTTGATTCTTTTTTCTTTTAGGGGGATAGAACTAATTGCTGGTTTGCAGTGATATGATACATGCAAATCCATTAATTTCTAAACTGTCGGCTTGCTAATTTTTAATCACAATGCTTGGATTTTCGTAATATTCTTCCATGAAATCTAACAGATGTTGCTTCAGAATATGATTTCCTATCACAAAGGCTTCACTTCTTTTGCAAGATATGAGTATATATTATGGATTCCTATAAGTAAAATCCATGGAGTTTATAAAATTAAATGAGCTCAGCAGGTTATGCGATACAGCTTTTTTTTTTTTTTAAATGTATGTGATGTCTAACAGGAAAATTTACCCCTGTATTAAGGAACATCAAAAATCTAGTGATAACTTTATGTCCACAGGTGAACTTTACCACTACTCCCTCAAAGTAACACTTCCCTCATTCACCACTATGCTTTAGAGATCTTCTGTTTAAAGCTCCTCTTCGTGCATCTCTCTCTCTCTCTCTCTCTAACAACAAGCACTTTCTAAAGTTCCCTGCAACGTTCATCACTGCACTGTAGCTGAGAAGTATCTCGTTAGCTGTGGCAAATATATCCCCATTGATGTTACGTAAGAAGGAATTTAGAACAAAATCCAGGCCATACTCATTGTAAGGCACAAAAGGCAGGCAACTGTTTTTCCCCTTTTAAAATCTTGTTCATTTTAATTTGAAAAGACTGAAGGCTTTCACAAGAATTTACAGAAAATACTCAATACTTTCCCATTTTTCCTATGGAAATGACAATGAGTATTCTTTTTATTTCTGCCAGATGGTATTAATAATCCTCTAATATATTTTAGAGGGCTCTGTTCTGTGAATACCTGCTAGAAAACCCAAATGTTTTGCCTGGAGCACCATGAACTTCTAACAGGTTAAGCAAACAAAACACACCAGTATTCAAGTGCCAAACACTCAGAATGCACAAGTTAGCAGTTTAAAAGTTATAATGCAGGCAGGATTTAAAACAGAGTAAAAAAGAGAAAGCGATTATGTACATTACAAGCTGCCTCCTGAAGCTCTAGTTTAACCTGTATATGTATGTGACACACAAATTTGTAAGAAGCACCACCTATAATTCTTCACTACTGCTACACTCTCTTTGGATTTAATTTTACTTTTCAGGAATTAACTGAAAGCATTCCTGATCTCTTCTCCCTGGGATCCAGTGATAGGACGCCTGGGAATGGCTCAAAGCTGCACCAAGGGAGGTTTAGACTGGACATCAGGAAGCATTGCTCTACCGAGAGGGTGGTCAAACACTGGAACAGGCTTCCCAGAGAGGTGGTCGATGCCCCAAGCCTGTCAGTGTTTAAGAGGCTTCGGGACAATGCCCTTAACAACATGCTTCAACTTTTGCTCAGCCCTGAAGTGGTCAGGCAGTTGGACTAGATGGTCATCGTAGGTCCCTTCCAACTGAAATATTCTGTTCATTAGCTGGCCCAATTTTTAGAACAGGCACTGCATTAGATTGTTAGTCAGTTTTATCTTTTTAAAAAAAGTTTAAAAGAAAGTTTTAAACAAAGTTTTAAAAAAGGGATTAGAAATTCTTAAAATTAAAGGATAGGAAGCTACAGGCATTCAAAAAGCATTTGCCAGTTGGCCTAAGTATTGGATAAATAGAAACAGTGTTATAACTCATTAATCCAGGACTGCTATCCTTCCCAGTTTGTCAAATTACCACCAGCTTTACTAAACAGATTAACATTATGCTGGAGTCAAACAAACATCTGTTTATCTAGCTCGCTAAGGGCAATATTTTAGCAGAATTAGGGAGACTGACAAATTCCACATTCGATAAAGAAAGTATACAATACGTAAACGCCTTGCTATTCTACTTGATGGATTTCAGTAACACAACTAGGAAGGTTTATCTTGCTGCAAAACCTATTTACAGTTTAAGAACTCAGCAGTACCTCAAAAATTCTTAAGTTTTTAGAATAATCACGTCTACATCCATGCTCTCCCTTTATATATACTGTGGCATAAGAGTCTGAAAAGTAACATTAATACTGGTATGTGTTTACAATTCACATTATTTATGAAAATAAAGGTTTATGTTTTTTTTCCAACACAAACATGTGGACAAACATACAAACTAGTCTATAACTGAGTTAACACAAAACACTCTTCTGATTTCAGTTACACTTAAATAGAAACAATATGAGGAAAAAAAAGTTGAGAAGTGTCTGTATACAGAGAACATTGTCATTCAACAGAACTTCTGCCAACCAAAGTCATCATGGCATGAACTTCCAGTTACTCTCTGAAATAAGCTTTGTATGTTTGTCCTGGAAAACTTACACAACTAGAAGAGTTCGTGGAACACAATTAAAAGAATTTTCAGGTTTTAGAACTTTATTAGTAACATCACTGTTGTCTACAATGTAGTTTGACTTTCGTATCTATGACAAACACACTGACTTTCAGATATAACAGGACATACAAATGGAGGGGGCCAAACATCCTTATTACTTTAAAGTATAATCTGATGTAGCCCTGCAGATCTAGCTGAAACAGCTGTAGAAGTTGCTGCTATTCCTCGGTTGGAATTTTAATTTCCAATGGGAGTAGTTCCATATCCTCTTCTGTGCAGAAGCCTGCTGAGTAAGTTTAAATCAATGTCAGTGGTAACACTTCTGCACTGGAATAGATTAGGAACTTTCTTCCATTTCATTACCAGGTCCAAGTTGTATAGGCAGCAGCAAACTGTTGGGGCAGAAACTCCCAGACCTGTTTCAGTTATATCTGAAAGACAACTTCAGACTATTCCTTTTTAAACTGAGGAATCAGACACATAGATATGGAAACACATGATGTCAACTTTCACAGCCTCTTTCAAAGGGGGAGTGCATTTTAACATAAGATCTGTAACTACCTAGAATTTAATGAAATCAAGAACTAAAGAAATCAGCGTCTCAACTGAAAAAGCCTGCTTTTAAGAAAAAACCAAACCCAACAAAACAACTTAGTAAACAAAGATGCAAGAGTGAAGCAAAGCACATAAGCAGGTCAGAGTATGGAATGATACTTACTATGGTAACAGGTACTCTTTAGCATATCCATCTCCTGTTTGTAACGCAGCCACAAGAAGAAAAAAGCACAAGTAGAGAATCTATGCATTCATCACAGCCATTGTGTTAAGTTAGAAGAATGGTTGCAACCATTCTTATAGAAAACAGAATGAGATGAAGTAGTGAATGGAAGACTAACAGACAAGTGATATATCCAATGTACAAGGTAAAAGAAACAAGACGAAAATTAGATTACACCTGTTCCAGATTGTTATTTTATCCTTTTTTGAGAAAATTGTAGACTTTATCAGCCCTGCTCTCATTTTACTTAAAACTACTACATAAGGTGAGCAAATAATGACATTTAGATTCAAATTTAGTTCAAAAAAATATTTACTGAGGTGTAATCCAAGTACAATAATGTTTAAGAAATGTGCAATCAGTGAAGGAGATTTACCAAAGCATCTAAACTTGTGTCTGGTTCACCATCAGACACTATTTCATTTCATAAGAGCAATTCTTTCTTGCAAAAAATGTACAAAAGGGTAAATCAGTTGAGAAACACCAAGAGATAAAAATTCTGAAGAGATGAAAATTTGTCTTTATATTAATGCACACTTCTTTATTATTGCAAACATAACTCCTATTACACTCATAGTTCAGTGTTGTATATTTTAGGCAGTATAAAAATAAAATGCAAGAAATAATTTACCTTTATTAGATACTAGTTCATATATTTTCATGCGTCAGTCACTAATGATGCAGTTACTGGTTTCCCCTGGCCCCCAAATCAGAAGAACATACCTTCCTCTATTTTAATCGGTGTACTGGGAGGAGTGCGAGCTGAAGTGTGATCAGGGGGACTTCTCTCTTTCTGTTGTCTGCCATCTTCTGAAGGTTCTGCAGATGTAGACAAAGAGAAATTAAAAAGGCAGACAAAACCTTTCAGCATGTGAGATAACAAAAGTGTCCTTTTGCTCCATGCACACAAGATACAAATACATTTTTCTGAATCAAAATTCTGCCAGGATATTAAATAATACCAAAACAAGCAAAAGACAATTAAGTGATAACTTGATATTAACAAAACTGTTGAAGTCACAGTTGAGCTCTGTGGTGGTTTCTTTTTTTTCCTAAGAGGGCATGAATAATGTAATTGTTTATGAATTGGTTTATCACGCTGTTTAAAGAGAACTTGTGAGGAAAAACCACAAGGAAGATACAAACAAATGGCGGGGGGAAGGCTATCAGACCTACACAAGATAACACTCTTTTGCTTGCTTTGTATTGCTGAAACTCGGAGTAAACAAAATTGCATCCCAAAAGAAAAGAAGACTGCACAGATAATCAGAGAAACATGCAGTAATTAAATGATTCAAAACAGATTTCACAGTGGTTTGCATATTTGTTATTAGTAAGGAGGGTCCCCCTTGCTTCCAGGTTTAAACAGCCCTAGATCCAAAGGAAAACGTTAATAGAGTACACCGTATATCAGGAAAAATATTAAAACATTGTTCCATAGAGTTCACCTAGGCAATTAAAAGTGAAATCAATCCCACAGATGAGAGTCAACTGACAGAATCTCCAAACGGTGTAGGTAAAGAGGTTTTTCCTTAGATTGCAAGCCCAACTGTACCATATTAGTAATACCTGAGGCCTCAGCCAAAAGGTCAGGATCGGACCTTAATGCTTTGATCACTGCAGTATGAAATTCCGTATGGGGGGACTTCTGCCCATCCGGTTCTTCTCGGTTAAGATGTGTGATGACTTGCTGCGTGGTCTGACAAGAAACCCATGCAGCAGCAAACTGAGTGTTATCTAAAGATTTAGACAGTGATGATATGTCACGATCCTGTAAAGTCTTCATATCTGTTCCTTGAAAGGTTTTTGATCTCCCTTTCAAATCCAGAGATCTTTTATCTGGCGTATTTTGCTCTCTGATGATCTGATTTCTAAGCAATGTACTCTGTTACTGTCTCAGTAACACAGTCTCTCCATATTTTGATATCTTATCTAAGAATGATGTAGCAGTGTTACTGAGAGAATAAATGTATGCAGTTACACAGGCATAACAGCAGAGTATCCCACCCCACACAGTCCAATACTTGATTAACTGAACACATACAATCTACAATGGCTCCTACATCATCTTATCAAAAACCAGAAGCAGGGAGCACACACTGCAAGAGGAATGGCTCTTCTGGTTCCTGCATCATTCAAATTAAAAACCTAACAACAGATGAGCATCGTAAGTATCATCCTTAAAACACAGAAGTAAAGCAGGATAACCACTTCAGATGCAGCAATGATCTCTTTTTACAGCACAATTGTCTCACAATTCTATGATAATTTAGAAGGTCTGTTTTGGGGGAAGTCCCCAAGGTGTGCCACTTCCAAGTGGCAATCAAATGTTGTTCTGTATCTTCCCCATTCAATGGATTTCTCAAATCCACAATTTTCAATGAGTTAGAAAACTGCAGTTTGGCTGCTAAAGAGCAATACCATTCTTTCACCCTAGACTATCTCTAATGCTAAGGGAAACAAAGCGGAACAATCTGCAATACTTTGCAGTACCTAAAATTTTTTTTGATTGAAGTTTCAAGCTTTCAACTTCCTAATAGCAGCAGTAACTGGCCATACTAAACACTCCAGGTTGTCTACTAGGATAATTTTAAAAATAAGATCTACGCATTTTACAGAATACTCCATTAACATCTAGATTGCACATTCTACTTCCAATATGCTTTTTAGATTTCAAATTCACACTGGAAAAACTGAAACACACAAAAGCTGAATAATTTATCCATGGCCTTTACAGGTAACCCACCTTCTAATTAGTAATAAACTTGCTGTTATTATAGTCTATTGCAGAAAAAACACACACAGAGAAACCAACCTTCTGGTCCCTTCTGCTTTCTTTCTACTTCTTTGCGATATTCTTCCAGTTCTCGATCAGTGAGTTTATTGAAGGGATTTGGTCCGGTTGTGCTCACTATGACTTTTGGTTGATACTCTTTCTCAATTATTGCCTTTGATGCAGTCACCAGTTCTCCCTGACAAAAGAAAATTAAGATACATCTGCAATCGAGCAGTAACTTGCAGAACCCTGAGAAGTACAGAGGCTATAAAGCAACGAAAAACAAAACAAAAAGATAATCTGAAAAATGCTACATTTATTTTCTTTTAGATTAAAAAAAAAATCTATTACAGAATTAAAAAAAAAAAAAAATTTAATCGACAGCAGGTTAATATAAAGGAGAAAACAGGTCTCATTAATTACTCTTACAGACACATCAGTGTTTCCACCAGGGAATATCCACCATTAAGCAGTAAATCAGACAGCAGCCAGTCTAGCTGAATTATATCTGAAGTCACAGAAGTATCAAGTTTCTTTTTCTCCCCACAAAAGAAACAGGATAGCAGGCCCAACTGCATGGCAATCTGGGCACAGAATACCTGTAGTAGTTCACGGGACTCAGCTCATAAGTATTTTTGTTTGTGGTTTGTTTTGGGTTTTTTATTTCTTTGTTTTGGGTTTTTGTTTGTTTTTTAATAAGGGAAAAGCCATTTCTACTATGTAGTAGTAGATTAGTAGTAGTAGCCATTAGCTACTACATAACATCTAACAGATGTTATAGTAAAAAGCCATCTTGCATGTGTTCTGTATACACCAGATTAACGGTTTATTACAAGCAATTTTTAAGTAATTAAGGTTGACTGTAACCTTATACAAGTTTGCATATTTACATCTATAACATTTGTCATACAAGTTAGATAAAAAGTTATACAAATAAGAATAAAACATTAGCAATTCTAAGTACAGTAAGTTCCAATGGACAAAAGCAGCTGCATCAGAGATTCTCTGATGCTAAGGTTTTTAGTTTTTCTTCTCTAATCATATAGTAAAGACTAAAGCTATTGGCTTTTCATTGTCTCGGATACTGAAGATGCTTGCCTGGATAACTGCTGTATCTTTCAGGTGACTTGTTTAAGCATTTGTTTTTTTCACTGGATATACAGAACTCTACTGACACTAGTTTGGAAATGACTGATGTGTTGTCTGTGCCTCGTGTCATTGTGATACCTGAATTGTCTTCATTGTTGAAAAGAGGTATTTGAATTCCATTACCAAATAACTATGGGTTACTGACTGGCCCAAGTCATCTTCATATTCAAATGTTATTTGTACCAATATTTAAAAGAAAGCATTAGAAAGCACAGTTCAAAAATAAGTAGCACCCGAACAAAGAGACAAACATTCCATTCCATGTCCATACTTGATGGACAAGCATGAGATCTTTGCTCTAAAACTCAAGATGAAATTAGGCAGAGTACTGTTTTGGATGCTAAGAGCTGCTTTGGACAAGTTGTAAGCACCAAAAAGGTGACAGACAAGAATGTCCAGATGGAGTGAGGACAAGAGCAGTTAGATATTTCTGAAAGCCTCATGAGAGATCTCCAGAAATCTGGTCTAGAGCAATCCAGGGAGGTAAGAACAGCTGGTTGATAGAATCTATGCTGCTCTTCAGGAAGCAAACACCAGCCAGAAGTACTGAAGAACAAACAGCGTAACAACAGGTCTCCACTGTAAGATCCTGAAAGGAACTGCAGGAGAGAAACATCTCTAAAACATTATAGATCGGCTCTGTTTCTTCATAAAATAAGAGGAACTCTCGTCTCAGATGCAGAATGTCAGTAGAATGTCAAAAGCCTTTTCTCAACTATTTCCATTAAGCATCAACTCTCTTAATACCAGAACACCTCTGATTTGATGGTCACGGCTTTTCTTACAGGATAATGCATTAAAAAGTCACAAAAACATCAACCTTTGTACAAACCCTAATTGTTTTGTAGAAAATGTAAAACACCCCCAAACTACAGGCCCACCTTTTAATGATGGCAGAAAATTTGTGTCCACGGCAATTTTGTATTTCCCTCTCTATCCTGCCCACCCTTCAAACTAAATATGCAGTTTTAACTGAAACTCAGCAACAAGTAGTAGGGGCATGTAAAGCACTGATCTCAGGCAGAGTTTCTAGAGTTTTCTAAGATTACAAAAGTCAACAGAGGAACAAGACATTTGGTGCACACTGGTATCCCTGGAATCCTTTGAATCTTGTCTGCAAGTTAAATCCAAAATGACTGGGTAGAACAACTTTCACATGAAACAAAATTTTACTGAATGGCTATTGATTTAATAAACACAAACAGCAAGACACGCAGTTTGCAGCAAGATGGCTAGTGCACTGGCATTATGTGTTCTCCTTGAGAGTACCTTCGTTAACTACTGGGAATAAAAGCAGCGCATCAAGCTTATCACATTTACTAAATTAAAAAAACAACAAACAACAAAGCAAAACCAAACACACACAAAACCCACACCCACAATCAATGCAAACAGTATTTGTACTAGCTGACTATCTTTGACCCAAGAGAAATAATATTGAAAAAGATCAGAGGCAACGACAGTAAGCGGATTATGTATTACAAAGAAAAAGCACTTGTGTTTTTTGGACCATAAAAGCAGAAAAATTACACGAGAAACTAGAATGGCAAAGTTTTGATTTGCTAAAAGCTGTTTCCAAATTAACACATCCAGTTTTGCTCAGTATCAATAATATGGAAGCAGTTTAAAGGCCACTAATGAAAATTGTAAGGGTAGAGGCACTGATTCTATGGGGAAAATAAATTATAGTAGTATGTTAGTAAGTTCTGCAACATGATTACTCTAAAACATGTACAAATCAAAGAAGTAGAGATGCATTACTTCACAGAATAGGCCACAGAGCAGCCTTCCAAGAATTCAAATAAAAATATACCACACAAAATGAAGAGAATAACATGGAACAGAAGGAAGACGAGTATAAAGGACTAAAGACAGTGCAGGACATATTTTATGTTGTTAAATGTGACACTAAAATAGACAAGACTTTGCAGAGCTATCAACCTGTCCGTGGATTTGGAGATTCCTATGAACGTTCAGAAAAACTGAACAAGAAAATTGTCTTGAGTTGCTTTCAGTATTAGAGAGCCTGTAGAGAGGGAATAAATTCCTATATAAAACACTGGCACTCTGTTTCAACACAGGATGACATGCAAAAAACTTATGTTCTAGTGATTTCATCTGGATTATGTTGACACTAGTATTATTTTATGATGATTCTAAATATTTTGATGACTGTTTGAAGTTTGATTGCATGTGTAAGGCACCTGAATATCAACAGCATTTTCCCCACTGTAAGAAATAATGGACAGATTACATTCATGAACAGAATATATTTTCACTCTTGAGAATTTTGCAGGGGCATACTCTCCCACAAAGATCCACAAAGATCTTCTCCCCAAAAGGGAAAGTCATTTATAGCTGATGATACACAATATACCTTCATACTAAACTTGGACCTCACATATCCTACAAGGAAATTTTAAATTATGAAGTCGTTTTGCAACTTCTCCACCAAATCTTGCTTTCAGAGAAAAATTCAAAACTGCTATGAGGTGACCATCATTTAACAGGCACTTCATCTTGTTCTCAGGGATAGATATGAGCAAAACTGGCACCTTATACATGCCAATTTTTCTCTCAATCAGACAGTAGGTTCATAATAATTGTCTAAAGTTAACAATTGCTCTTAACACCATCTGGCATTAATGCAGTGCCTTTATCCCAAAACCCAAGATTCTTAAAGTACTGTTCATGTAGAAGTCGCCATTAAAACACAGTGCCACCTGAGGGGCAGAACTGAGAGGCTCTTCATGAAGAACAAAGCCACAGAATTTCCATTCTAAAGGAAGAGACACGAGATGGGTGATTCCCCTTTTACGTAAAATTCTTGAAAATTCATGTGAATTTTTTTTTTTTTAAATCAGATTGCAGAATGGTCATTGGTAAGAATAACCAACATTCCCTCTCATTCAGCCAAGACTGCAGCAGAAGCTTGGTTAACCAAGTCTATAACACAAATAAAATTACATGATGCACAAGGAGCTGGTGTTGCAACATGGCCAGAACTTCTCAGAACATGGACGAAGCAAGTGACAAGGCAAAATGGAGTATTTACTACTGCAGCCATAGGCACAGAAGACTCAAAGCATTACATGCATACTGTACACAAACAGGATTTTTTTCATCCAAAATCGTGTGCATTAGTATTTGATGTAAATCTCAACGTTAACTGAAAACGTAATACATTTTAAGCGTTACTGCAAGCAGATGGAACTTTTTACTTTAACTGTAATTGAGTGTCAAAGAATTTGTCAAGTGAGAACTTGTAATTATCTGGTACCTAAAAGTCCTTAAATCATTGGATGTACAGGTCTCCTCAAAGTTTCATTCAAAGTTTCATGTGAGGTTTATGTGGGCATCATAAGATTGCTTACACTTTCCTTTGTTCCACAATACACCGATTTTTGGCATAATCTTCCTAGAAAATTTCTCTGGTGGTTTTTTTTGTTGTTGTTGTTTGGCTCATGGGTTTTTTGTGGGGTTTTTTTTTGTGTTGTTTTTTCTTTGTTGGTTTTGTTTTTCCCCCAACAGGAAATTTTTAAGCATTTAAGTCATAATCCGTATTAAGATAATAAAGATTATGAAATAGGCCACTCCTACTGTAATTAACATTGTGATCTAATTTTACACAGTATTTCAGGAGGAAAGCACTTTCATGACACCATTAAAAGAAAACACATCATTCGGACATCTAAACCCTAACATTATACTACTAGGCAAAATCACATAACCAATAGACCTTTTCTCGGCTCCTTGCCATCTACAAAAATGCACGTAAAATATTTGACTAGTTTTATAGAAAGATGATGCCATTACTCAAAAATAATACTTGAAAGATATCTTGCACATCACTGATGAAAGAAACCACCTATGTTGTGATAACCAATGGATGACTATCATAAAAATAATTTTTCACTTTGAAGGTATTATTAAGCAGAGAATAAAAGGCATGCACTGCCTGGAAGAATTTGGCTTTGTTTTATTTTTCATCTTAAATCTGGAAATAGTGTTTTATTATTTTTCCTTTCAGAATATGGATAAAACAAACTGTAATCTGAAAAACATCATTATCAAATTCTCAGTACGATACAACTATCTATAATACAAACTGGCTCATTACACTAGAAAGTGCTATAAAAACATGAGATTTGCAACAATGATGTAATTCAAAGTATTCTGTTTTTTTGATGGGAAAGCTATTCTGATAATGAAATGTTAGGCACGACCTAAACCAAGATTTAAGAATCTTTTAGATAAAATACTGGAGCAGAAGAGACACCGATGCTTATTTACACACTGTGCTTCCATGTTAGATCACCTCTAAGAAACTCCTTCAAAACCTGGGAGAGAAAGACAGCTAAGGACAGATTGTTTCCAATGTGCAAACTGCTCCTGTTTACTCAGCCTCCAGGGACTGCCCACCTCAACCATACACACGTCTCTTGAATTTATTCTGTATTTAAAGTATATTACATAAGCACAAGCATAATTACATGTTTGAAAGCAAATCGATTGTGGAAGTGTGGGGCATTACTCAGCAACTCTTGTAGATAACTGGAAGTTTTAAGGAAACAAGACGTCTAGCAATATAGCATCAAAAGTTGACAGTGTTTGTCAGCATGACACACTCTGAACATGTGGATATCTTCGGAATTACACTGATGTAATCAGGCTGAGATTAAGCTAACTCAAAATGGATCTCAAATTAGAGTAATTCAACGCTAGTAGTGTGTGCAAAGAAACCCACTATATGCAGAACCTAATCAGCACCTTAATATCAAAGTGTTTCCTCATCAGCTTCTACAGACAAAGAAAAAAGATTAAAATCCTTAAGCGATACTTTAACAGGGTAAAGTACCTGCTTGATTAGTTGCATATACATAATTTGGAGATCCATCTATTTTTTTTCTTTTCTAGCCAAACCATTAGCTAACAGAGGGAAAAGGTCAGGGTAAGGAGGAGGTAAAATGAAGGGTGAACAACAGTATTTAGAGCAGTATGACAGGGCAGTACCTTTCTAACAGACAGAGATTTAGCAGGACTAAAGGCCTGCTCTGTGAGATCGAGCCCTTCAATAGATTCCGTACAGTCTGAGAGGGGAGCATCCTGCAACAGTAAATTGAGTAAACAGAGCAAACCGAGCCCAGGCTTTAAAACATCAACCAAAAGCATTATGATGCTTGCTAAAAACATGCAAAGAAACAGTGATAGATAAAATTGCAAAAGACAATGAATTGACATGCACACAATATGACACCCAACATCAATAATGCTATGGTCATGATAAGACTTGCCAAACTTCTAAAAGTATATCAGAAAATACTTATCTGGGGCAGTTAAAGCACTCTTGATATATAGAGCTTTAAAGTCAGCTATACAGCTATACAGTATAACTGTGGAGCTCTAATTCTTACTTTACTTTGAGCTATGATTCATAGATAAAGTCTTTTGTATATCCAGATATACTGCTTTTAAGTTTTATTGATGTATAATAGCTTTTTTTCCCAAACTGCTCTGCAAATAAAATATTATGAAGCACAATAAAACATATTTAACACGCAACACTACTGCCCCATAGTGAGCCTGCTGTGCCCAGTATTAATACTTCAAGATAGATAAACTTGGAAAGCAAACAAAAAAAAAAGTTGTCACAAAGCCCAACTAGTTTTGAACAAGAATCTAACCCATATAAATAAGCCTCTTGAATTTCATGCATTACATTCAGCAAAAAAAACCAAGAAGCATCCTCCACAGACATGCTTGGGCTACATGGCTGAAGCCTCTTAAATTTCTGACCCTGAGCACTCTCGCAAAGACAATGGTGTTACCTCTAAGACTTACCTTATAAACAGTTACTCTCTGCCAATTAAAGAATAATTTTATAGTGATATATTAGGTGAAAGCAAAGGATATCATAGATTAACTTTAAGCTAATAGTTTTAGGCATTTTATACTCTCACCTGTACAAGACTCCTGTCCACAACTACCCCAGAAAGAACCTGTGATTGAGGGCCTGCGGTTTTAATATCTTGTAAATTTTGCTCTCGGATCTGTAAAGGAAAGCAGCAGAATACACTCACATGAACAACAGAGAAAAGTTAACCACATTTTCCTATTTGAAAAAGGGGTGGGTGAACCTGCAACTAGTGTCAATTGCTATGGCCCCTATGGCCCTACCCATCAAATAAAAGCTGTGCTTATAAACACCACTTGAAGATATGTGCTCAGGTTCCTAGTTGTTTCCTCACATTTCTCAGAATTTAGCCTTTAAGTACCACAGCAGGTACTGTCCTTTACTTTTTAGTACTGGCTCATGGTAAAACTCTACAGATCAGGTAACAGACAACTCCAGTTTGTGAAGAAAAGTGAGGAGAGAAGAGAAGCACAGAGGTCATATTTATGTAAGTCGATTGTACCTGACCAGTCATTTACAGGTTTCTGTCACTAGCTACTAGTCACTAAGATTGTACCACAGTATCATCTTCCTACAGAACTTAATGTAAAACACTGCAAAACATTCAATTTTTACATATAGTCAGGACCATATTCTCAAAAGGGCATATATTTTTCTATGCATAAACTGACACTCTGGAGTACTCAAACACATCCCTTTTGTTGCATCCTAAACACCTCCCAGTTCTTTCCATACAGAAGACGGGAACAGAAACTGGATCTTTAAATCTACGTATTATTTAACTTAGATATTCTACAGTGGTAAAGAATTCATAACAACTGACTCAAAATTTATTTCTAAAATATTCTGGTTCTTGTTCCAAGATAAATGAAGAGATGCATGCATCCAGAAAGACCTCTACTTTAAAACTAAAAAGAACATTCAATTTATATAAAAATGCATGCATACAAGTATACAAACACAAGATATTATTAAATACTTGGTATTTCAGAACGTATCAACATCCTACATCATCTGTAATTGTTTCTAGTTTACTACCCTTCTCGTCATCAGGAAAGTAAAAAGTCTGAAGTTTTACTTCTCTCCTCTTAGTCGCTTCATTCAAGTTTTTAATAAAACAATATTTGTGTTTCAAACACGAAGAAACTGCTTGGCAATTTCACCAGACTTCTCATTTCAAGTGATTATTATTTTACAGTGCCGAGTCAGGGAAAGCAAAAGCTCTGTCAACCTTATACAAATTATTTTAGAACAAATTAGTGTTCGTGCTAGTACCCCTGCACACAGACTTTCCTGTGACATAATGCCAACTCCCATGTTCCATATGGCCATCAGTTAGAAGTATCAAAACAATCCAGAACAAGTTAAGTATTAGCACGATACCAGTGCATATTTTATACTTTAAAAGAAATAAAGTGAAAAAACCCCAATGCATTCAATGCTTTCCTGTTGGTAGACTGGTGACAAGAAGATCTGAAATTCAAAGACTGGAAAATTAACTGCTAGGTCATTTAAAAAAGATGTAACATGTGGTTCCAAAGGCCCAAAAAATTTCTGCAACAATCACAGCATATTATAATATAATAAAATATAATATAGAGAGATATCCATAGACTTCTTTCTCTAGCCACAATTTCAACTGATGAAACCAAAACAGGAAAACAGGTCACTAATGTAAAACTATGATCTCAGGGAACAGAATTACTACCATAAACTCAGTGGTGGCTGTTTCAGAGGTATCCAGCAACTGGTCTAACAGTAACAAAACATAAGACAATGAAAGTCTTCATATAGTGGACAGTAATACCATCTTTTTCCAAGAGGAGTTCAGAATATTTAGGAATTGTTTCAGTATCTAGTTATAAAGGGGCAGGACAATACCAGAGTTGTGTTATCGAATGCCAAAACTTAAGCAAAGTAAGTTAGTTCATTACAAGTATGCAACTTAATTGTAGTGATGACCAAAAAAAAGTTATTTTACTGCTGTTACAAACCTTGTTCCTCATTTCTTGAACCTCCTTTGGATTGGTGTTCAATGGAACAAACAGGTTAGGGACAGCAGAGGTGGCAGTTCTATGTCCATCCTCTTTAGTCCACTGTAATATCAAGAACAGTTGAACAGTCAGAATTGCTGTAATGGCTATGGACACTCAGAGCAGCAAATTCACATAACAGTTGATCATGCATTATACATAGCAGAGAACTGAACCAATGATTGTATTCTTCTATTCATTCCTAAGACTATTTAAGTTGCTTCCTTTTTCAGTAATATAAACTGTACCTTCAGATACATTTCTAAATATCAGAATCATTCTATTAAGTCAAGCTAGTAACAACAACAAGAGAGCCAGTTAACTTGCAAATAACTTCCACCCAAAACGATGCAATTACAACAACTATGTGCAATTCGGAGACTGAAAGGTTTTTAAGCTGTTTTTCTGTGCACTTGACCACACTGACAACTGCAGTGTTCTGTGTTTCTAAAAACAGTCTGCTTCTCACTTTATGAAGAGACATATTAATACAGGAGTAGGAAAACGCCAATATAATTACTTATTTTTAAGGACATTTTTATGAGAAATTTCACAATGAGTTCGTATTTGTTTAAAAAGGACACTATACCTTCCCCAAACAAAAGTACAGCAAGATCTAAAGACACGAGCTCTAAAACCCTGTTACTGCCATTTTCATTTTCTGCCCTGGGTATGTTTTTACAAAATAGCATGAGAGAGACAGAGAGATCATTGATTCAATCCTCCGATACTCAACAAACATCAAAGCGAACTTAAAGCATAAGATGACAGAAGTATGAAAAGCAATGTGATGTCACTAATCAGATTTAGTGAATGATTCTGTACTGTGAAGCAAGAGTGGGCATCACCAAAGTTTTGCATTAAAACAAGCTACTTCAGCAAAATGTTCTGTTTCCAGAATTAGTTTCTGCACAAATAAATAGCTGTATCAGCACAGCAACCTAGAGGAACAGTTTGGTGATGTCGAATATTTTATAACTCATAGCTCAAAAGGTTACAAAAATATCCCAAACACAAACTTTAAGCGCTTCATGGGTTCTTCATAGAAGGTTGCTTTATTTGATCAGTGCATTTAGTATGGAGCTCTGTTAAATTTGACGCACAACTAACTTTTTAAGTTGATATGTTTATTATATGTGATGTCCTAATTTCCCATCATTATTGCATAGAAAATGCACTGAACAGTAAAGCAAACCAGTTTATAGAGCAAATGCTATGCATTTTTTCCTGAGTAACTTCAAGAAACAATAAGATAGCCAAAAACTGTCAAACTTCAAAAAGCAACAGAATTTTAAAATGTTTTGCAACTGTAAAGTAAAAAATGGAATGAACATGGAGCTGTGAAATACTCACTGATGATTATCTTCTCAGATAAAAACTACTCCAGCTTCTTATTAAAGATAGTTTTTAGTCAAAACATATATAAAAACAA